TATTTCTATATTTGTTGAATACTTTATATATCATTATTAATTGAATTTAACATTTATTGGTCATTTCACGCAAAATTTTGATGTTCCTAACACCGAGGTGATGAGGAAGAAGATTTTATCCTCCATTGCCATTAGATGGAGGGACTTTAAGACTTTCTTGACACGGGAGTATGTATTTGGAAAGTTTCAAGATGAATCTCCCTGTCTAAAGTATCAAATTAGTGAGGAGGATTGGTTACAATTTTGTGCCAGCCGAATGGACCCCTCTTGGCGAGGATAAAAGACGTGCTTGCCTAACAACGTCGAGAGGTTGAATGATGCACCCCATGTATTGTCACGAGGAGGGTATGCATTATTGGAGCAACATCTCATGAAATCCGAGAGAAGAGTCGGCAGGAGTTGATTCTACTCGACCTTGCATCTCCACCCCTCGCTATCGAATGCGGAAGGCAGCCGGACAAAAATCGATGGACAAATGACTTCGAGTACTGCACGAATCATTGCTCGAGAAAATTGTAAGTTATAATGTCAATTTGAATTGATTCTAATGTGAAAGTTAGTGTATGACTTAATTATTGTTAATGTGTTGTAGGATGATTTAGTTGAGCGAGACTCGACCAAGGATCATTTATTCCTTATGGTCGACAAGATATATTGGCGACAGCCATAGAAAAACCAGATTACTCGGGACGTGTGCGTGGTGCTTGGTGGAACCCGGGGCCTTCGTGATTACTTTGGTCCAACATCACGAAGGACCACTCGCTGACTCTTGCGACCAGGAGGCCTTGCATAAAATGGAGATGCAGTTTGAAGAAAAGTTAAATCAAATAAGGCGATCCTTGCAGCAAGAGTTTGATGAGAAAATTGAATCTCTCGCCCGCTCTCGACAACGGACTCAAGGAACACCTCAAATAATTGAACATGATGTTGTTCGAAGTCGGCACTAAAGGGAGTTGTGCTTGCTACTCGCTATCGATCATTCGGAGAATATACTCGAGATCGATGCATCACACCGAGTGTGAGTTATATGTTGAAGATGACCCCCCGCGTCTAGTGGCTATTAGTCGAGTTTTTGAGGGTGGCTTGACCATCCATGGTGTCCCTCTACAGGAAGACTGGACACGAGTAGTAGTTGATGAAGTTCATGATGCTAATGCTCCAGTGCCTTTTCCTAATGAAGAGATTCAATTAGTGGGGCAGGCAAGCGGGACATTCTTGACTTGACCAAGACGTTTGGTTATGCCACTATCAGCACTGAGATCAAGGTATATATATATATATATATATATATATATATATATATATATTGTCTATTTTCTCTTTTCTAGTATTATAATTATATTAATGTTTAATCAATTGTTATCATTTGTTTAGGAGGACTTGCGTCGTGCTAAGCATAAAAAACAACCTATTATATATGAGGATCTGACAGAATGTGATGATGATCCCATCTCTATGTTGTTGACCATATTACCACGGTTGAGGAAGAGACCGTGTCAGATACAATGGGATGTTAGAGTGTTTGGAATTGACAATTCCAGTGTTCCATTATACATTTCCTTGCCCGATGTTTTAGAAATTGCTAGGGGAAATTGCATGTTAAACATTTCTATCATACAATTGTGGACAATGTAAGTCATTCTCATTTATGTTTCTAAGATTATAATAATTATATTCAACTTATAATTAATTGTTTTAGGTACCTTGACAAATTGAGTGTGGAACAAGAAAAATCCGAAGTATACGGATTTATTGAGCCTTAATCCATCCAAAAATCTGGAAATACAAAGGTTGGAATCCAACAATATATGCAAACATGGATGAGTGACTCAAAAAGACATATATATTTGGCTCCATACATTGAAGGGTTAGTATTTTAATTTGTATTTTAATTTGTATTTTTGTAACTAATTTTTATGTCATACAATGTAGGTCCCATTGGCATTTAATTGTAATCATGCCCCGGGATTACAGCTGTGGTGTGGTTTTGTTCATTACATCGAAACCGAGTCAAGAAATGAAAAGCTTATTACAAGGGTAACTTTATCTTTTATTCATTAATTATGTTTTTAAATTGTGAATACATATTGAATAATATATGACTTTTTTTCACTTAGAATCGTGTATCGGAACTAATGTTCTAAGTGGAAAACCTGGAACAAAGACTTTGCAGTTCATTTATCCTAAGGTTAGAAACTTATTTATATAAGTGAATACCATAATTATTGTTTGTATTTAAATTTTGAAAATAATATTATGTTTTTTTCATCATTTCGAGTGTAATAAGCAAAGAGACTCGTTTGAATGTGGTTACTATGTAATGTATTGGATGAGAGTCATAGTTTGTGCGGGTTTAAGCTGATTCTTGGACGGAGGTAATTACTTTTAACATTAGTTAAGTTTATTTAACTTTATTCATGTTGCATGCTTACAAGAGTCAAATTCATGTTTCGAGTATTTCAAGATCCATCTCCATTACCGAATCGATATTACACAAATTAGAGAACAATGAGCAAAATTTTTTGTTCAACAATTCTAGTACATTATTTTTTAAGTTCTTGTTCATATTATATTGTGTGTATTATGTAGTTTAGTTTAGTTTGTATAGGTAGCTTAGTTTGTATTAACTTTTAGTTTGTAATAGATTTTTTAGTTTGTATGTTTGTATTATATTGTTTTATTATGTAGTTTGAATTATATAATATTATATTTTTAATTTACTAGCTAAAGAAAACTGAACCTTTGGACTGTCTGGTTGTAATATTTGCAGGTTTTAGTTGTAAAACAGAATAAATAAACCCAATTTAAAAAAAACAGCAAATTTACGTCACATATACCTATATGCGACGTAAATTTGCTGTTTTTTTTTTTAATTTTCGAAAGTTTTTACGTCTGTTTAGTGGTATATGCCACGCAAAATTACGTCGGGTCTTGATAACTGACGTAAATCTACGTCGGGCTAAAGGGTCCAACGTAAATTTACGTCTCCCGTTTTAACGTCGGACTTAAATACGACGTAAAAAACCCTAAATACCTGACGTAAAAGCCTCTTTTTGCACTAGTGGACGTACAATTCAATTTAAGGCCCTGAAAGTATCTATGAATCAACTTTTGTGATGGTCTCCAACTTGTTTGTGAAAATAGAAGTTTGCATCGTTTCCCATATCGGCATGCACACTAATTACTTAAATGATCTTCCAATAATAGCAAGTCTATCACAATCTTATGCTTTTTTCATGTTCAAGTGCCACATGGTTGAAATTCAATAATGTTATCGTTAAGGGATCAATACACCAAAAGAAAAATTAAATTTTTTTCCATGGACAAAATCTGCTAATAATTAAGAAAACATGCAGGTAAAAAAATATTGTTAATCGGCAGAAATTCATCGAAAATTATGTTATAGGTAAAATTTATCGACAAATTTTTCTAGTCCGTCAATAATTAGTCGTGGAAAATGTCATGGGTAATTACCAAAGTTCTTCCAGTAATTACCAAAGTTCTTCCAGTAATTTGTGATAGTCTTACCGACAAATTATCCGTCGGTAAATCCGCCGATAAAATTACCTATATTTTTAGAGTCATTATATTTTTGCCTTTTTCTATATAACCTGTAAAATATATAACATTCAATCCATTCAACAGTCCAATTCACGATCCAATTTAATAATCTATTCAACAATCCAATTAAACATAAATCTAACTCAACTTAATAACAAGTAAATTCAAAGGTACTCTAAATTATGCACAATGAAACATAATATACAATCCTAAAAAAAGACTAAAGATACAGGTAGAACTGAAATATTATTTTATTATTGTTTGTATAACATTTAATAGTGAGAATAATCAGAAGAATAATGTTTTGGTATGTTGTCTTTCTGTAGTGGGTTATCTTGTTGTTCTTGATTCACTTTTTGTTGTTGGGGTTGTTCTTCACTATCTGGTTGATTATGTTGGCGCTGCTGAATTAGAGACTATGCACGGGGGATAGAAATTGAACGACTGCACCGACAAGGGATTGAAACTCTCTAAATTGGTGCTCTAGTTGTTCATTGTATTCCTTTGTTCGATGAATTTCTTCTTCTTGTGTAGACGGTCGTTGTCTCAATTGATTCATCTATTCTAAGTCAATTGAAGAGTTGGATGCTTGATTTTGATGTTTCAAGCTATCAGAACCACCACGATAACCATAAACAAATTCTCCAACCTCATACAATCTTCCTTTATTTTTACCTCCAAGCTGTGTCGACTCAACAATGAGACCTTATATCTTCACCATATCCAAAATTACAATAGACTCGAGCTTCACCAATACAAGAAACTAAATGAACAACTAAACCTAAAAATAATGATATTATAAAGAAAAATAATTGTCATTACAGTAAAAGTTATAAAATTATTTTTTATAAGAAATATAATTTTTCTTTTTAAGAATAATAGTTAAATAGTGTTTTTTATTACTATTTATGTAAAATAAGAGCTAAACGTTTTTTTTTAAATTATCTTTATTTCTTATACTTTAAAATTAAGAAATTAGTTTTCAAAACATAAAAAGAAAATATAAATTTAGTCTTTTTTTATCAACTTTATTATATAAATAATATTATTAAATATTAAACTTAATATAAATAATTATTTGAAATCATATTTAATTCTTTTGTTAATTATTTATAATATACAGTGGATGATTAATATCGTTCAGTTTGTCAATAGTTTGGGTTTCCCAGAAGAAGACGTTGCAGTGAAGATGATGTTTGATTTGAGTGGTTGAATATCCTCCTCGAATAGATAACGATACCCACAACCTTTGACCAACAAAATCAAAGCTGAACAGGAAGTCTTGGTAGTGGGATGTGTGAATACAAGTTCATGAAGAGCAAAATCTTCATTTATCCATCCACTTAGTTCTTCAACTAGAAATTTTGGAGAGAAAAACATATTACTGACAAGTGATCAAATTCGAATGTCACCAAATCTCTCTTCAAAGTAATCGGAACCTAGAAATAGTAGCCATTCTTTACATGTTGTAAACCAAAGAAAATGCTATGATTACACTCATGTCGGCATGTATCAGTGAAATTATTATTTGGATGATCAGGTGCCACAAATAGTGTACAACAAGCAACACCTATCCAATTTGGGTCATCCATCAGGGGATACAACTCCAGTCTTACTGAACTACCCACATTTTGCTTAATGAACCACCTTGGAATTTCAGTTCCAGGAATAACAATACTCATAACTAAGGATTCTTGAGAGGATTTGAAGTATAGCTGGTACCAGAAAATAAACTATGCATAATCAGTCAACACAAAGACAGGCTAAGAAAGGATAAACTCGTTACCTGAAGGTGTTGCATCGTCGTAGAAAAAATCATGCTGTAATACTTTTCCATCTCGCTCAACTTGGGCACTTGGATAATATTTAACGACTACGGCTTCAAGGTTTTTGGCTTCCTAGAAGCGTTGTAAAAGGTAAACGAAAGTGTAAGACTTTTTGTAACAGTAGGGAAATTACAAATTAAGATTTTGTTTCAAAACCTGTTTTACCTTGTTTTTTTCTCATGACGTTTTACAGATCCTCGTGGTTCCATATTCTACTCCACTTTCTTGGTCTTTGGTGCTTTTTATCTCACAATGCTCTCTCCCAGCTCTTTCAACAAGTCGTGCATCTTTATAGTCGAACCCTCATAGCTTATGGGTGATTTCTCATTCAGAACTTTTAAATCAACATCAGTACAAAATCCTCCATACTCCAAAAGTCCTGTCATTGTTATTTTCTCCAATAAATCATTGAAAGAAGAAGAAAAACAAGCGATATCTAAAAATAGTTCTTTCTCCATTTCCTCCAATCCATCAAAACTTATTCGTAATACATCCATGATATCTTTCCGTGGATTTTGTTTCAGTCTAACCAACGCACTTCTCCACTCACAAACATCTCTATCAAATAGAAAGGAGCCCAATACTTCGGCTGCTAATGGAAGGCCATCAACATACTTCAGTACTTCAATGCCTGTTGGGTATTGTATGTGTGAGTTAATTTTCACATTGAGTAAAAATGAAAAAATTGAACAACATATAAGGATGTATGACTCATAACCTAATATCTTAAGATTTTGGGTTAAGAGTGTTGTTATTCCCTTATATGGGTTGAAATATCTCATTGATGTACCAATGTGGAGGGACTTACACTTAGGGAGAGATTGTTGGGTATTCTAAGTGTGAGATAAGTCTCACATTGAGTAAGAATGAGAACACATGTAAGGATGTATGACCTATGACCCATAACCTAATGCCTTAAGGTGTCAATCCCTTATGTAGGTTAAACTTAGACTGTTGGGTATTTCAAGTATGAGATAAGTCTCACATTGAGTACCTAATGTCTTAAGGTGTCAATCCCTTATGTGGGTTAGACTTAGACTCATGTCTCGATTGTGTTGAGGGAGAGATTGTTGGGTATTCCAAGTGTGAGATAAGTCTCAGTACCTAATGCCTTTAGGGATGGCAAAACGGGCCAGCCCGCCCCGTTTTGGCCCGCCCCGCCTTTGGCCCGCCAAAAGCGGGACGGGGCGGGCTGACCCGATATAGTCATGACGAGTCGTAGACCTTGGCCCGCCACGCAAGGCGGGTTAGTATGTGTGGTGACCGCCATAATTTAGAAAAAAAATAATTTTTTTAAATAATTTTTTTTAATAAATTTAATAATAAGATTATTATTTGTTTGTCAATAATTTAATATATATATATATATATATATATTATTTCAATTTAATAATATAAATCAATACATTATTTTAAGAAATTATAATTTAGAATAATAATAAAATTTACATAATAATAAATAATAACAAATATATATATATATATATATATATATATATATAACGTTAAACTTATAAAATTTATATTTTTTATATTGAAAAATTCAAATACCTATATCTTTTTTATTTGATAAAATTTCATATTATTCTTGGTTGAGTAATTCTTATACCTTTAATTCAAGTAATAAGAATAAATATAATCGAGTGCTTAGGATAAATAAATATACCTTTAATTTAAGTAATAAGGATAAATATAATCAGGATAAATAAGGAGAGAAGGTTATATTTCGGGAAGGAGAATATTTTCTGTGAGAATGAAACTTTTTTAATTCTTTTTTTAAAATTTTGAACTTTATATATTATCTTTATAATTAATTTTATTATAATAAAAAATTATTTTTTTATTAATTAGGCGGGGCAGCGGGCTGGCCGCCCAGATCCGCGGGTTGGCCCAACGGGTTGGCGGGGCGGGCCAAAGCGGGCTGGTGGGCTGAAAACACCAACCCGCCCCGCCATATTATGGTGGGCTGGCGGGCCAGCCCGCCGGGCCTAGCCCGTTTTGCCATCCCTAAATGCCTTAAGACTTAGACTCAGGTCTCGATTGTGTTGAGGGAGAGATTGTTGGGTATTCCAAGTGTGAGATAAGTCTCAGTACCTAATGCTTTAAGGTGTCAATCCCTTATGTGAGTTAGATTTAGGTCTCAGTTGTGTTGAGGGAGAGATGATTGGATATTCCAAGTGTGAGTTAAGTCTCATATTGAGTAAAAATGAGAACACATATAAGGATAATCTAATGCCTTAAGGTTTTGAATTGTGGGTTGAACTCAGGTCTTAGTTGTGTTGAGGGAGAGATTGTTGGATATTTCAAGTGTGAGTTAAATCCCACATTAAGTAAGAATGGGAACACATATAAGAATAACCTAATGCCTTAAGATTTTGAGTTGTGTGAGTTAAGTCTCACATTGAATAAGAATGAGAACACATATAAGGATGTATGACCCATAACCTAATATACCTTAAGGTGTCAATCCCTTATATGGGTTGGACTTAGGTCTGGGTTGTGTTGAGGGAGAAATTGTTGGGTATTCTAAGTGTGAGTTAAATCCTACATTAAGTAAAAATGAGAACACATATAAGGATAACCTAATGCCTTAAGGTTTTGAATTGAGAGTAGTGTCAATCTCTTATGTGGGTTGGACTCAGGTCTCATTGGTTGTGTTTCTCTTCAGTGAATCCCTTCGAAAGACCTAACAATATCAAATCTATATAATCTTTCACAATGTTATCACATTTGAAATTTTTTCTGCAAAGTAATTGAAAAGCTTTATCTTCATTTAGGAGTTGAACATTGTAAATTGCATCCACTTTGTTGAAAGTCCCACATTGCCTACCTCATGTCATTTGATATAATTTAAGTACATGTTAGGCTACTCCACATATAGCCAATTGGTTTTATGTTGGAACCTTAACATGGTATCAGAGCCAAAACCTAACATCTTTCCGGTTATTATCATGGGCCAAAAGTTGCCCTTTAGTTGGGTCAAAAGTACCCTTTGCCTGGTCCAGCAGGCTTCGTTGGAGGGGGTGTGTTGAAAGTCCCACATTGTCTACCTCATGTTATTTAGTATGATTTAAGTACATGTTAAACTACTCCACATATAGCCAATTGGTTTTATGTTGGAACCTTAACACACTTTATGATTTCTTAAGATATGACTATCTCTAGAGATTATGACAACTCTACTCCCTGCACCTAGGTGTGTAGGTAGTAAAGCCAATTTCTCAAGTTGTTCAAGTTGGTCAACATTATCAAGAATAATAAGTGCCTTCAAGTGAGATAACCTACTTCTTTCCAACATGATGCCCTTCTTTCCAACATGATGCCCTGGGAAATATTATTTTATCTCCATATTATGATGGTTTAGAGTTTGACAAAGGAGTTGTTTTTGCAAACTCACTGGTCCAAAATCCCTGTAAATTTTACTTACATCATCAATGTAACAACAAGCATCATATTGAGGAGAGATTTTATGAAACAGTGTTGTAGCAAGTGTGGTCTTTCCTATTCCACCCATCCCACAAATTCCTATTACTCGAACATCTTCATTTGCACCCAGATCTAAATGTTCTTCCAATTGTTTCACACGAGAGTTCATATCAACTAAATCATCCCCAAAACACAAAATTTTATGACCTAATATATCGGTTACCTCATCAACCATTTTTTCAATTTCTTCATGTTGTGGCCTGTACGAAAGTAGGGAAAAAAACACCAAATCATCAGTAATAGTTAAAACTTCCATAAAGAAACTCATGTATATATTTTATGAAAAAAAAAATCTAATAATTAAATACTTACTTATTTTGTACATCCCACCCATAATGATTGGTAATTGCTTTCAATGCATCTCTCCATTTGTGTACCATTTCCATATCATCTTTTAACCTTTCTTCGTATTCAGCTAAAACTAAAAGATGAGAATAACCACCTGGTCCCCAGAATAGCTTCAAATGAGTACATTTAAATAGGATGAATGAGTACTGCAAAAAATGGGAATCATTTTAGCTCAAGACCAAGTAAATTTTTTTAGAATCGATTTTTATGTTATTGTCGTCAAAAAGTGAAGTTGGTGGTCTGAAAATAGAATGGTTTTGTATAAGATCTCAATATGGTAAAATTTACAATCTCAAGTCTCCATAGCATTTTCTTGAAGAAGGTGATTGTGCTAAACATGTACCAACGATGTAGAGAATAGAACACACTTCTACATATACTAATATACATATATTTCTTGTAAATTTGTAATTAACTCTTATATTTATTTTGTTCTTTTTTAGCTTTTGTTAATGTTAGATATTATTTAGATATTGTTAAGATATTGTTAGATATTATTAACCATAATATCAAACCATATCTTCTGTTTATTTTGTTTATTTTCGGTTACTCTTTTAGTTGTACCTCTCTCTATTATAAATAGATTACCCTATGTGTGGTTTATACACAAGGGAGATTAATCTCAAACTCTATTTCTTCTATATTCATCATAGTATCAGAACCAAAGCCTAACATCTTTCCGGTTATTGCCATGGGCCAAAAGTTGCCCTTTAGTTGGGTCAAAAGTACCCTTTGCCTGGTCCGGCAGGCTTCGTTGGAGGGGGTGTGTTAAAAGTCCCACATCGCCTACCTCATATCATTTGGTATGGTTTAAATACATGTTAGGCTACTCCACATATTGTCAATTGGTTTTATGTTGGAACCTTAACATGGTTGATGAATATAGAAGAAATAGAGTTTGAGATTAATCTCCCTTGTGTATAAACCACACATAGGGTAATCTATTTATAATAGAGAGAGATACAACTAAAAGAGTAACCGAAAGTAAACAAAATAAACAGAAGATATTGTTTGATATTATGGTTAATAATATCTAACAATATCTTAACAATATCTAAATAATATCTAACACTCCCCCTCAAGCTGGAGCATACAAATCGTATGTGCCAAGCTTGTTACAAATATAATCAATTCTAGGCCCTCGTAAAGACTTAGTAAAAATATCTGCTAATTGATCATTTGAGTTAACAAACTTAGTCTTGATGTCTCCCGACATAATCTTTTCTCGAATGAAATGACAGTCAATCTCAATATGTTTGGTCCTCTCATGAAAGACAGGATTAGAACTAATATGAAGAGCAGTCTGATTGTCACACACAAGTGTCATTTGAGTGGCATCTCCAAATTGTAACTCTCCAAGCAATTGCTTGAGTTAAACAAGTTCACAAGAAGCTGAGGTCATAGCTTTATATTCTGCTTCTGCACTAGATCTTGCCACAACACTATGTTTCTTACTTTTCCACGAAATCAAGTTACCACCAATAGAGACACAATATCCAGATGTAGATCTTCTATCTGAAGGAGATCCTGCCTAATCAGCATCTGAGTAGCAAACAACTCTTCTATGGTTATTAGAACCATATAATAATCCTTTTCCAGGAGATCCTTTAATATACTTCAAGATACGAGTAACTGCATTCTAATGATCTTCACATGGGGAATTAAGAAATTGACTTACCACACTGACTGCAAAGGAAATGTCAGGACGAGTAACTGTAAGATAATTCAATTTTCCAACCAATCTTCTATACTGCTCAGGATCAGATATAGGCTCCCCCTGATTTGGTAGAAGTTTAGTATTAGGATCCATGGGTGTTTCAACAGACTTTGAATTCATCAACCCAGTTTCCTCCAAAATATCCAAGGCATACTTCCTCTGAGATATAATAATACCATCATTGGACTGTGTCACCTCAATACTCAAGAAATATCTAAGTTTGCTAAGATTTTTGGTCTGAAAATGGTGACATAAATGTTGTTTCAACTGAGAGATTCCATGGTTGTCACTACCTGTAAGAACAATGTCATCAACATATACTATTAAGTAAATACATCCAGCACTCGAGTGTCGATAAAAGACAGAATGATCTGTTTCACATCGAGTCATACCAAATTGTTAAACAACCTTACTAAACTTTCCAAACCAGGCCCTAGGAGACTGTTTTAGGCCATATAGGGATTTGTGAAGACGACATACCATCCCAGAAGACTCCCCCTGAGCAACAAACCCAGGAGGTTGCTCCATATAGATTTCTTCTTGCAAATCATCATTGAGAAAAATATTTTTAACATCCAGTTGATAAAGAGGTCATTGTTGAAGAGCGACCATGGCGATAAATAAACGAACAGAAGCCATTTTCGTCACAGGGGAAAAGGTATCTCTATAATCCAACCCAAAAATTTGAGTATAAATTTTGGCCACAAGACGAGCTTTGAGGCGATCAATAATACCATCAGGTCCAACTTTGATAGCAAACACCCACCTACAACCAACAACAGATTTTCCAGACAGTAACGGGACCAATTCCCAAGTTCCACTATTATGAAGAACACTTAGTTCATCTAACATGGCCTGACGCCAACCAGAATGTGCTAAAGTTTCACGGATAGTTTTTGGAATGATGACAGAAGAAATAGAGGAAAAACATGTATAAAAAGGTAATGACAGCCGATGATAACTCAAAACAATATAATGAGGAGAGGGATTACGTGTAGAACGGATACCTTTTCGAAGGACAATGGGAAGGTCAGACTCAGGTGTCAGATCCGGAGGAGACAGAGTAGTTGGCACTTGAGTGGAGTCACATGGTGGTGGTTGTAATTGATTTCGACAACTATAAACCTGAAGAGGCGGTGGAGAAGAAGCTAACTGCGGAATAGGAACTAATAGTGAAGAAGACACAGTTAGAGGGTCACACACAACAGGAACATTAAATGTGCTAGGAGTGTTTACAGGATTGGATGGAGACAAAGGTGAAGATTGACTTTTAAAATAAAGAGAGAACTCATCAAAGGTGACATCTGCAGACACAAAATAACGGTTAAGAGAAGGAGAAAAACATTTGTATCCTTTTTGTGATCTTGTAAACCCTAAGAAAACACATTTATGTGATCGAGGAGAAAGTTTATCAAGACCAGGACTTAAATTATGAACAAAACATGTAGACTCGAAAACTCTTAGAGGTAAGGAATGAAGAGGTTCATGAGGGAATAAAATGGAATGAGGTATTTTATTATCTAAAACCGAAGGCATGCGATTAATGAGATAACATGCAGTAAGAAGAGCATCACCCCAAAAATGTTGAGGAACCTCTTCATGAATTAAAAAAGTGCGAGTTGTTTCAATAAGATGTCTATTTTTGCGTTCAGCTACACCATTTTGTTGAGGTGTATAAGCACAAGAAGTTTGATGCAGGATACCGTGAGAAACCATGAATTGTTTAAAAGAATGAGAAAGATATTCACGACCATTATCACTGCGTAAAACTCTAATAGAGACATCGAACTGAGTTTGAATTTCATTGAAAAAAGTTTGAAAGATATGAAATAATTCAGAACGATTTTTCATCAAAAATAATCAAGTGCATCTGGAATAATCATCAATGAAAGTAACAAAGTATTGAAAACCTAAAATAGACTTAACGCGGCTAGGTCCCCAAATGTCAGAGTGAACCACTGCAAAAGGGGACGAAGCACCACGTGTGACACTACGAGGAAAGGAAGTACGACTATGCTTGCCTAATTGACACGACTCACATGCCAAACTAGACAAGTTAGACAAGGCAGGGACAAGTTTCTGTAACTTGGCAAGACTTGGATGACCTAACTGAGCATGAAGAAGAGAGACTCCGTAACTGCACCAACATGTGTAGAAGGATGGAGATGATAAAGATCATGAGACTCATATCCTGTGTCAATCACCTGTTTAGAACTCTGGTCCTGTAAACACACATAATTGTTGGTAAAAGAAACAACACAATCAAGAGAACGAGTTAGACGACTGATGGACAACAGGTTAAAAGAAGACTCAGGGACTTAAAGAACATTATCAATAGTTAAAGAAGGGAAAAGTTTAACAGTTCCAACACCATGAGATGATACTTTAGAGCCATCAGCTAATGTAACAGAAGGTAAAGGATTAGAAGAGGATAAAGAGGAGAACAAAGATTTGTTGCCAGTAATATGATCAGTGACTCCTGAATCAAAAACCCAAGGATCAGGAGAAGAGGATTGGGTCAGACCAGCAAAATATGTATCTGTGTGTGCGAAAAACGTAGTGGAACTAGAAGATTGTTGATCCTTATATCATTTGAGAAATTTGTTGAACATAGCAGGTGTGTCGGATGCAACAGAAGAAGGAGGATCCCCAGCAGACAAAGATGGGGAAAGATGGGTCTGAACAACTGTAGCAGATCGAGGAGGACGACCATGTAATGCATAACACTTGTTAATCTTGTGACCTAGCTTGCCACAATGTTCACACTTAGGACGCCCTTTTCCCTGTTTGCGAAGGCGAGTCCGGTCATCACGGTGAGATGCCAACACAGAAAAATCATTAACAGAATTGGGAGTAGTAGAAGGAGTGGGAGAAGTCATGAAGGCAGGAGAACAAACCCTAAAAAAAAATCTAATGTAATCCAATCCACGCACGAAGCACAAATCCAAAATGAGAATACTAAAAATAAGTTCGCTAAGACTAAACGGCGCAGGAGACAACTGGACGACCAACTCCGATAGTGGTGATCTCAACAGCACGGTGGTCACCTGACCGAAACAAGCAAAATCATATGTCACCGGTAAAAAAAATGAAACTCCGACAAATTCTTTGGCAGCGGCAGATCCGGTGACTGGTCCAGTGGCAACAGTGATAATAACGTGAACCAGTACACCAGGTAAGTTCTCAGGAAAGAGAGGTGGGTCACTAATGGACACACTTAAATACCAAGTCTTTCCTTGCCAGAACTTTCCTAGACATGCACTTTCACACTACCAAATAAAATTCAGTAATAAAGATAATTCTTTTCTGATGTGGAGGATCAGTTTACCAGCAGCGGTGGACGGCTCTAGAAGCGGTGGGGCGGCTCTAGCAGTGGTGGGGCGGCTCCAACAGTGGACAAAAGGCGAAAAAAAAAAAAATTCAAGATAACCTTAAGCTCTAGATACCATATTAAGGTTCCAACATAAAACCAATTGACAATATATGGAGTAGCCTAACATGTATTTAAACCATACCAAATGATATGAGGTAGGCGATGTGGGACTTTCAACAGTTAACATTTCAATTTTTAGACCCTTGAAAATGGTAAGAGAATTACCAAATACATCACTTAGAAAACGGTTGAAAGAGTCAGATTCCCTTAATTATTTCAAGTAAAAAGTTATCAATGTTAGAAACTTTTACTTCTTCAGAAAAAAAAATCATTATTATATCATTAATAAAAGAAATATATATATATATATATATATATATATATATATATATATATATATATATGAATAATTGTAATCTCAAAATATTTCTGTATTAAATTTTACCTGAAACCAATTAAAGTTACTTTGAAGCAGGGGTGGTTGAGAAGAAATATCTAGGATCTAGGCTGAAGGCTCTCCGCGGTCAATCACTTGTTAGTTTCCTCTCTTGAGATGAAGAATTTCTGCCAAACATCATTTTTGAGTGTAATTGTTGAAGATCCTCCGTAAATACCCAACGATATCCGCAATTCTTCACCACAACACGTAAACCTAGACAATTATCAGAAATAATTTTGAATTTCAACTTAGCAGGATCAAGCATTTTGTCAGGATCTTGAGTAAGAAGACCGATGAGTTCTTCCCGAGAGTAAAACACGGTAAACAAGTGATCTAATTCAACTGTCACCAGGTCTTTCTCGAAATATATTGGAACACATATATAAGGTTTTCGCCAATGGTGTTTATTATGGACACCGTATGCAATACAAACATGATAATGATTCTTTCCCTCACTCAAATTCGTAGGATCTTCGTGTGTGACAAATAGTACACAAAAGGCAACACCTATCCAATTTGGATCATCCATAACAGAAGATAGGTCCACACTTATTGAACTACGAGCATTTTTTTTATTGAACCACTTTGGAATTTGAGTCCCAGGAATAACAATTTCCATCATAGCAGAGGAAATAGTTCGTTGCAAGTAAACCTGATTACAGCAAGTTATATATAAAAAAGTGTTCACAGAAAAAGTGAGAAAAGGAAGGAAAGGATTGAGTGGTTACCTCAAGATTTTGCGTCATCCAAGAAAAAACCATTCTATAACAGTGTTCTATATCACTCAAACTGGGGCAGTAAAAAATGTATAATCGCCACCAATATTTGCCAATTATTTTGTCTTTTGTTATTGGAAGCTCGGGCAAATATTTTAGTTGCTTGCAGTGCTCCAAGTTCAATATTCGAAGTTTGAAAAGTTGCTTGATGGTACAAGGTAGTGTCACAAATTTGTTTCCTCCTAAATTTAGTCCAACTAAAGAATGTAAGTTCCCGATTGCATCAGGGATTTGGAGTAGATTGCAAAAGCTCAGATCAAGATGTGACAAACATTGGAAACGAGATAAATAAGGTAACAACAAACCAAGGGAATCTTCAGGTTTTGGAGAGGATAGAAAATTGAAAGGCAATATTAGAAGTTTGTATACAGAGGATGTTGACCATTGCACGACACTTGTATTTCTATCAACTTTTTCCAAATGTTGTGTGTCTCTTGGCTCCATTAACATCTTACTATTCAGTAATTTTGAACATCCAGAGAGATTTAAGCTTCTTAGAGAACCGAGCCCAAAAATAATATTCAGATTAAGGACAAGATTTTTACAATTTTTCAAATTCAGATTAACAAGTTGTCTTAGAATACTAATGGATGGATCTATCTGGACAAGTTCTATACATCCTTCAAGGTGAAGAGTCAAAAGACGAGGAACCCCTGTGAAGTCTGGCATCTTAATAAGATTTTTGGAGTGACTGAGATCCAGAGTTCTCAACTTAGGCAGGATCTGTTAGAGAAGCATAAGAAAGACAAATTTAATTTTCCATTAAAAAAGGTAACCAAAAAGACAATCCTTAGTATTTTTTTATTTGTGCAATTAGAAGGAGACAAAATGAAAAAAAAAAAAAAAAGTTAACCTTTCCCTTTTTTGTGTAAAAGTAATTTCAAAAAATGAGGTGAAATATATTTCTAATATGATCATTTAAATAGAGACAAGAAAATTGAAAGAAAAAACCAATTTAACAACGTAAAGGAACTTCAAAAAAAATGAGATGGAGTATCTTTCTGATTATTGGAGACAAAGAAATATGAAAACTAACAATATGTAGTACCTTTGTGCCTTCCCATAATTTCTTGATATTGCTATAACGCAGTTGCAATTCTACAAGTTGATCTGGCTGGAAAGTTGATGGCAAAGACACGAAAGGAAAGTTATCCCAATACATATACCTCAGTTCATTAGAAATACAATTCAGAGATCCAAAAGTGTTCACATTATTAAGAATGAGCAATTGAAGGTGATTAATTTTTGATAGAGCATCCACTCTTATTCTTTCTTGTACAAACTCTTCTGGACGTTGTTCAATAACTATAGCTTCAAGATTTTTGGCTTCCTAAAGCAATATAAAAAGGAAAAAGCAATTATTATATTTTTTTAATAATTTAAAAAATTTTGAAGAATCAGAATCCAAGATTTCATATTAAAAAAAAAAAAACTTTTACCGTATTTATTTTCATGGCTTTTTGGAGATCCTTGTAGTCCCATAACCTGCTCCACTTTCTTGGTTCCTTGGGTGCTTCTTCTCTGACAATACTCTTCCCCAACTCTTGCAACAAGTCATGCATTTGAATCTCCCCATCTCGACAACTAATAAGTGATTTCTCAATCAGAACTTTCATACCAATGTCAGGATAAAATTCTCGATAGTCTAGAAGTTTCTTCCCTTGATACTCGCTGCGGTAATAATGACTCGATTTCGATAAGAAACATGCAATATCTAGAAATATTTCTTTCTCTAGACTCTCCAATCCATCAAAACTTATTCGCAACACATCCATTATATCCTTCCTTGGATTTTCTTTCATTCTAACCAACGCACTTCTCCATTCAGAAACACCTCGATCATGTAAAAATGAGCCCAATACTTTAATTGCTAAAGGAAGACCGTTCACATATTTAAGTACATCATATGTCAACCCTTTATATTCTTCCTTAATATCGTTAGATCTGAAAGCTCTTTTGCATAGTAATTGAAGAGCATGTGTTTCATCCAAGAGTTGAACATTGTAAACTTTATTTATTTCATAATTTTGCAAGATATGGCAATCTCTAGAGATTATGATGATTATACTCCCTGGGCCTAGATACTCGGGATGCAAACCCAAATTCTCTAATTGTTCAACTTCTTCAACATTATCAATAACAACAAGCGTCTTTAAGTGACATAGCCTAGTTCTCATCAACATGGTTCCATGGAACAGATTGTGTATCTCCAAATTTTTATTTAGAGCTTGACAAAGAAGTTGTTTTTGTGCAATAGTTGCTCCAAAATCCAAATAAATTTTGCTTAAATCATCAATGTAACAGCAAGCATTATACTGAGGAGAGATTTTATTAAACAATGCAGTTGCAAGTGTCGTCTTTCCTATTCCACCCATCCCACAAATTCCCACAAGCCCAACAACATCATTTGCACCCAAATCCAGAAGTTCTTCCAATTGTTTAACGCGAGAATGCATATCAACTAAATCATCTCCAAAACTCAAAATTTGATTATAACCCAATATGTTGATTACCTCTTCAACAATGTTTTCGATTTCTTCATTTTGTTGCCTGTGCGACCAAAGTTCAGCAAAAATACAATCATCACTCAGAATAAACTAAAGACTTATAACATAAAAAACCTAGCTTTATGCTTACTTATTTTGTATATCCCACCCACAACGATCGGCACTTGTTTTGAGCGCTTCCCTCCATTTTTGTAGCATTTCCAAGTCATCTTTGAACCTTTCTTCGTGTTGAGCAAAAGCTTCTGCAAACTCTCCACTCTGTTTTCGGACCTCAGAAGGAGTGACATCATAGAAGATAGGGAGCAAACTTCGACCTGTTTCCACGATCTTCGTAAGCTCTTTCATGCACCATGTGGATGATGCATAGTCCTTCGAGAAGACAACAATGAAAACTCGTGACCCTTCAATTGCGCGCAAGAGCTCAGACTCCAAGAATTCCCCTTTTTTTATTGTTTGGTCGTCTCTGAAGGCCAGAACATCTTTTCTCTGAAGAGCAGCAAAAAGGTGATCAGTAAAACCGTTACGAGTATCACTTCTAAAGCTAACAAACACGTCAAAATTCTTCGTTCGTGATGAAGAGCTGCGTTGAATTTGTCTGCAAGCCATTGCAGAAGGTGATAACTGGGTTGCTTCAGAAGATAATGTGCGTATAGAATAATACTCCCAAGGTATCAGCAGGAGAAAAGTGAATTCATAAAGCAAATGAGAAAGCGCGTGGAAATTTACATTGGAAGACCGATTGTAAGGTGTGGGTCGGACTTATTAAGGGTCTTTAAAGGCATGGCAATGGGGCGGGGCGGGTTTTGCCTCTTCCCCGCTCCTGACTTTTTTAACCATCCCCATCCTTGCTTTCAATTTTCATCGGGTTTAGAAATTAAGTCTTCATTCTCGTCTCTACTGAGTTTTGGGTTCTCCGCCCGATTCACGATTTATATTATTTTTAAAAAGATAAATATATTTATAATAAATTAATTTTACTATATATTTTTATATATAAATAAATATTTATAATTTATAGTTATTATTAATTAAATATACATTTTAATTTAGTATATTTATATTAAAATATATATGTAAAAGAAATATTTAATTATTATATATATATATATCTAATATTTATAACATTATTATTATTATAACACTATATTCAAATATTTGAATATTTATAACATTATTATTATAATACTGTATTCAAATATTTAATTATACATATAATCTAATTCATTTTTAAGTGGTCAATATATAGTTTATAAGAAAATATTTAATAAGTTAATTCTTATTTAATTAGTTTAAAGTAATAAAAGTTTAAATTATTAATTTTTTTAATCTTTTAAAATGTAATTATTTTATTAAGATAAAATTTGATATATGATAAATAAACATAATAAGATAAAAAAATATGACATAATAAATATAAATTATAAATAAACTAATATTAGTTACTACTAAGATTGATGTAAAATATTTAAAAAAAGATAAAGAAAAAATATTAACTTTGTGTTCATCAAATTGGTTGAAAAGATTGAAAAAAAAACAAATTGATGGGAGAGACTAAGAAAATGTGAAAAAGCTGAAAGATAAGGGAGAGAATAATATAATAAATTAATTTATATAAAAGATTAAAAAAGATAAAAAAAAATAAAAAGGGGTAGAAGAAAAATAAAAATTGGTGAAATATAAAAAATTACCTTATATGTAATAGAAAAAGAAAATGAAATATTTTTAAAATATTAATATTTTAAAATTTAAATTTAAATATAAAGTCGGGGCGGGGACGGGGTAGGGTGGGGATTGCATTACCCATCCCGCTCCCGCCCCGACTTTTTAAAGCGGGAAAACCGAACCCGACCCCGCCCCGGTCAACTCGGGTTTTCCCCGTCAAACTCGGGGCGGGAAGGGTCGGTCCCCACGGGTACGGGTTTAATTGTCATCCCTAGGTCTTTTATATGTTTTCATATATATATATATATATATATATATATATATATATATATCATGTATATATAATTCTCTTTAATGATACAATAATAAATAAAATTTAAAATTATTATTATTTATTAGAATTTAATTCCAGCTTTAGGTTTAACCGTCGGATTTTAGTTTGTAACCAACTATTAATGGTGTATTCTCCTATATAAGAGTACCCATAACTCAGAAACAAAATATAACGATACTTTTCAGTTTATCACATATATTCACAAATTAAACACATTATCCTGCAAATTATTGTGTGTCTATACACGTGTGAAGTATATAGAGAGGAGGAAGTGAGAGGAGGAGCTTATCTGGTGAAGCTGGTGGAGCTGCGACGGTGGACGATGGAACCCTAGAGTGAGCTGGAGTTTTCGTGGTCACTGTGTTCTTTCGAGAACTTTCTACCTCTTTCTCGTGTTGTTTTGGTGCGTGTGAAGAGGTGGGTATTATTACCCTTTAGCAGAAGAGAGAAGTGGGCCTGAGTATTGGGCCAGTTTCAACAGTGGTATCAAGAGCAGGTTACGAACTAGGGACATTTGCAGTATGGCAGGAAATGGAAATGGTAGTGGAAATTTCTTTTCTAATTTGCCATCTCTTGATGGAAAGAATTATGATCATTGGGTCATAAGGATGGAGGCTATTCTTGGTTATCAAGAACTATGGGAAGTAGTAACAGAAGGTGCAAAGGAGAAGGACGAAACCGCAAACAAGAAGAGAGATTGTAAGGCTCGATGTCTCTTGCATCAGTGTGTGGATTCTGTGAATTTTGAGAAGATAGCCAAGGCCAAGACAACAAAAGAATGTTGGGAAATACTGCGGAGGGCTCATGGTGGTGCAGAAAAAATCAAGAAGGTCAGGTTGCAGTCTTTAAGAAGACAATATGAGTTACTTTCAATGCGGGAAACCGAAAGTGTAACGGAATATTTCAATAGGCTGCAGTTGCTCGTCAATCGGATTAAAAGTTGTGGAGAAACCGTGATCGAATTGAGTACGATAGAAAAGGTTCTGCGTACAACGACGAGAAAATTTTGATAATGTAGTAGTGACAATAGAAGAGTCCGCGGGAATATGAAGGCCACATCACTTGGAGGAATTACGAGTACGTTAGAAGCACACGAGTTGAAGCGCACAACGCGAAAATATGAGAAGGCGAGAGGATGAGCGAGGCCTTGAAAGCCCAGGTCAGCAAGAAAAGTTGTGGTTCTGACAAAGGAAACTGGAAGAAGAATAAAGGAGGAGGCAGATTTAACAAAGAAAGAAATTCTTTGTCTCAAGATTCTGGTTCTGGAGAGAAAATAGATCAGAAGGCTCAAGGAGGACGTGGGTCTTGGAGAGGAGGAAAGAAGAGTGTTGATATGCAGAAAATTCAGTGCTACAATTGTGAGAAATGGGGTCATTATGCAGCAGACTGCTGACACGGAAAAGGAAGACAGAAAAAGGGGCTCAGTTGATGCAGAGGCAAAAGTAGCACAAGATGATTCAGAGGAGGAGCCTGTGGTGCTTATGGTAACGACCAGTGAAGAATAATTTGGTGTTGAAACTTGGTTTCTTGACACTGGATGTTCCAACCATATGACTGGGCACAAAGAATGGATGTCCAGCATAGATACCAGCAGATCCAACAAGAAAAAGCTGGCAGATGACAATGTCATTAAGGCTGAAGGAGTTGGGAATGTGGTAATTAAGAAAGATGGCAAAGAAGTCATAGTGATAGAGGATGTATTATATGTGCCAGGGATGAAATGCAATCTGTTGAGCGTAGGACAGCTGGTGCAGAAAGGTTTTTCAATGTCAATGAAGGAGGAAATGTTGAGAGTTTATGATGCTAAGAAAAGGCTTGTACTGAAATCACCTTTGGCAAAGAACAGGACATTTCAGACTAGGCTTTTCTTGACAGAAAATCAATGTTTAACAACAACTACGGCAGAGGAAGTGAGTTGGTTGTGGCATAGGAGGTATGGGCACTTAAATTTTACCAGTTTGAAGAAGTTGGCTGATAAAGGGATGGCGACTGGACTTCCTGAGACATTAGTTGTACCAGGAAAGGTGTGTGAAGGGTGTTTGGTGGGAAAACAACCCAGAAATGCCTTCAAAACACATATGCACATGAGGGCAAAGGAGGTATTGCAGGTAGTTTATTCTGATGTATGCGGACCATTTGAGGAGTTATCACTTGGACAAAATAAATATTTTGTCACATTTGTTGATGAGTACAACCGAATGATTTGGTTGTATTTGATCAAAGTCAGATCAGAGGTGTTCTCTGTTTTCAAGAAATTTAAAATGATGACAAAAAAACAAAGTGGGAAGATGATTCAGATCTTGAGAACAGATGGAGGAAAGGAATATTTGTCAAATGACTTTGAAGGTTACTGCAGAGAGAATGGTGTGCAACATGAAGTTATAGCACCATATACTCCACAACATAATGGGTTGGCAGAAAGAAGGAATAAAATGATACTTAACATGGCCAGGAGTATGATAAAACAAAAACAGCTGCCTCATTCACTATGGGGGGAAGCTGTCTCAACAGCTGTCTATTTGCTAAACAAGTGTCATACACAGAAGCTGGAAGATAAAGTTCTAGAGGAGGTTTGGTGTGGTAATAGGCCAGGGGTTAAGCATTTGAAGATATTTGGCTCAAAATGCTACAAACATGTGCCAGATGTTAAAAGGACAAAATTGGCAGATAAAAGTGAGGCTATGATTTTTGTGGGTTATCATTCCACAGGAGCTTATAGGCTATACAATCCTGTTTCCAAACAGATTTGTATCAGCAGGGATGTTGTGGTAAGTGAGGAAGAATCCTGGGATTGGAATGAAAGACAAAGGGAAGGCAAGAAAGCTAGAGGTTTCTTTGAAGAAGAGGAAGAAGTTGATACGACGAGGAGAAAATACGATAGAACCCCGAGTCTCAAAGAGTTATGAGGCGAGAGAAGACCACCACGAACTCTGGTGGATTTTGAAATATATCCAGATGATGCTGTGACAAGTGAGGGAGACTTAGTGCATTTTGCACTAATGGCAGAAGCTGAACCATTAGATCATGATGAAGCCATGAAACAAGAATTATGGAAGGAAGCCATGTTAGAAGAATTAAACTCCATTGAGAGGACAAACACCTGGGAACTGACTGACTTACCCAGTAACAAAAAACCCATTTATCTGAAATGGGTTTTCAAACTAAAGTTGAATCCAAATGGCAGTATTAACAAAAGGAAGGCAAGGCTACTTGTGAGAGGATTTTTACTAAAGAAAGGGTTGGACTACACAGAAGTATTTGCTCTTGTGGCCAGAATTGAGACAATAAGGATGGTAGTAGCCTTGGCAAATGGGAGAAAGTGGCCTTTATTTCAGATGGATGTCAAATCTGCATTCCTAAATGGCTCACTTGAAGAAGAGGTTTATGTTACACAACCTCCTAGATTTGTGAAGAAAGGTGTTGAGCATAAGGTGTATCGGCTGAGGAAGGCTCTCTATGGCCTTAAATAGGCACCCAGGGCCTGGAACAGAAGAATAGATGCTTTTATGTTAAGCCAAGAGTTTAAGAAATGTTCAGTGGAACATGGAGTATATGTGAAGTATGGCAGAGGGACTGATCTAGTCTTAATGTGTATATATGTGGATGACTT